AAAGGGAGGTTGCAATATGACAATTGGCAAAAAGATGAGGAATAGTGTTGTTAGTAGTAGGACACCAAGGACAAAATAAGGAATGAGGGGAGATGTTAGCAATGGAGATGCCTATGGGAAGAGAATGATTACTACCCCAAAAAAATACAAGACCTATTATGGAAACTATCACATCATACCGATGCAAAATTGTCACTCCATTATTTTTATTAGTATATTTGACTGTGTTTTTATTAAAGCAACCTCAGCAGGCGGGTTGCAAAGTAAGTCAAATCATACCTGTAGGCTGTCTAAAGCGGACTTGACACTTATAGTAGGATAAAATAGCTAGTTATCGTAAATTTCATATTCTTTGTGCTCATTCTCCATATTAATAACTTATAACATTAAGCATCCCACCATTTGAATATTTGCTGGATACTTGAAACAATTCCAAGCTTTCGATTTTCAGTATGCACAGAAGCTGTTTCAATATTTCGTGGTATAAAGCTTTATTCTGAATGATTTATTCCAGCGTCTTTTTAAATTTCATTATGATAATATCTTTTTATGTAGCCAAAAAATAATTTATCCCAACGTATTTTGTTTTGCACTTTCTCTACTTAAGCGTAATTGTCCGCCAATGATATTTGAATGATTTGTTATGAGATAATCTGCAACAAACAACTCTCCAAAAAGAAGTGTCTGTTTTTATTACATCATGTTAAAATTAAAGAAGCAATTGACTCTTGCGTTACTGAAACCTGACATAGTAGTCAACCCAACGATAAGAAATCAGATACTGCACAAAATACAATCACACCCTCATTCGTTTACAATAGTTGAACAGAAAGACATTCTCTGGAAACTTGCGCAAGCCAAAGCATTTTATAAAGCCCATGAGGGTAGATTCTTTTTTGAGCGTCTGTGCGGATTCATGACAAGGTATTCGGAGTTACGAGAAATATAATATCTGCTAATGGTAAAGACTTGTATTCTTAAGATAATCAAGTCACTTAATGTGATTCTGTGATGTTAAGCGGCAAGTTTACCGCATTAATACTTGCTAGAGAAGATGCAATCCATTATTGGCGTCAGTTGATTGGACCAACACATCCATGCAGGTAAATTATATCAAAGCAAAATTATCAGTTACAAAGTGGAATGAAAAACAAAAGCCATTTATCATTGAAGAGCGCGCGTAGTAGCTCCCGGTACCCTGCGTGCAACCTATGGTTTGACTGATACAAGAAACTCCTTCCATGGATCCGGTATGCGTCACGTCTCTTTTTAACGTCACGTTTGATAAATGATTATAACCATAACGTGGGTAATTGTTAAACAGATTCGGACGATACGGCAAAACGCGAAATTAAATTATTTTTCCCAGATTTTGATATTGATGAATGGAAAACAAATCAGGAAATTCATGACATTCGAAAAAGTATTAAATGAATTCGCGAATACGACCGATCGTGGTTATCGATCTTTCTTAATTGTTTTTTTGGGAAGGGAATGCAGTCTTCAGCAGTTCCTTCTTGTTAACTTTTCCCATAGCGTTCCGAGGTAACGCGTCATCATACAATTTTAGTAAAGTAGGTAATTTGTAACTTGCCAGTCTATCTTTAGCAAATTCTCGCAAGACGTTCAAAGTAATCGCGGTATTCTGAATTTGCATTGGATTTAAAGTAAGAACAAGCGAATGATAATAGACCTATAAAACAAGATATCCAGGATAATTATTTATTTGAATATGTCTTACCTTGTGCATGGGCACGACGACTGCTCCGACTCTCTGTCCCCATTCAGCATCTTCGACGCCAACAACAGCAACGTCTGCTATGTCTGGATGTGCCAACAATTCTCTCTCAATTTCCAAGGCCGATATTTTATATCCTCCTGACTAAAACAACAAAGATCGTTAATCTTTTGGAAATAATTCGCGTACTTGATGACATATGAATAGCAAATACCTTGATAATATCGACGCTGTTTCTCCCAAGGATTCTAAACATTTTTGTACTGGGCTCTCTAACGGCTATATCACCGGTTTTAAACCTAAACAGATATTAGTCCATTTTTATGAAAGCTTAGGATCAAGCTGTCAAAAAGGAAAACGATTTAGCCATACCATCCATCTTCAGTAAATTCTTTTGCCGTAGCTTCCGGGCGATTCCAATATCTTTCAACAAGTGAATGACAATATAGTAACATTTTATCAGGTATAAAGCCCTCTGAATGACCACCCTGTATAGGTAACACTCACTCTTTAAATACATTCGGTCCCTTGACTTGCACTTCACCGGGTGTATCTACTTCTTCAGTTACATCGGTGCCGTTATCCGCAATCAGCCGAACCTCTACACCAGGGAGAGGCAATCCGACAGTCCCCTATCAATTCACGTTAAATTCTGTGTAATATTAAGACCAACTAGAGCAAGACTGGGATTTTCTGTCTCTCGTAGATACCTCGACGCGTTTTTCTGCTTCATATCCATTACTTAACGCCATGCCAATCTCGCTCATTCCGTACCGCTCCAATAATACTTGCCCGCCACTAATTTGTTTCCATTCGTTTCTCAGTGGTACAGGAAGCGAGGCTGAACCGGAAATCATCACTCGGAATTGAGAGCATGATTCGGTAGCAATCAATTGTGCATCAGGTGGTAGGGATGTCTTGTAGAATTGAATCAGTTTTGCTATTCAAAAACGAGACAGTAAATGATTAGTGTGATCAAGCAATGCGGATAGCAAAGACGGAATATCCATGAATACCGTACAGTAGATGGTGGGGACCGCCATGAAGAGAGTGAGATCTCGTGCAGGTGATGTCCATCGTCGCCATACATACATAGCATCAAATTTGGGAAGCATTTCTACTGTTGCGCCGGCATATAACGCACATATCAGTGCCTACACAGGATAACAACGCGTATTTGAGACTGTATATGCAAGTAGACATGCCCGTCAAGCATTTTCACAACTAACGTTCAAAATTCCCTAAAAGAATGAAAATAGCGATCAATATTTAATAGTGGCGTGAATAAGTTTTCAGATATTCTAATTCTTACGTGCAAATGATGTAATGGCAACACATGTAGAATCTTATCCTTGTCGCTCCACTTCCACGCGCTTATCAAGCTTTGTGCTTGAGCTTCTATGTTTGCATGAGAAAGAACGACCCCTTTCGGTCTTCCTAATTATCAACTTTCAATTAAAACGTTGCTTATTTGTATAGTTCATTCTTCCCGGTAGATTACCTGTGGTACCGCTCGTATATATAATAAGTGCACGACGTGATGTAGCCATCGGATATAATTTAGGCACCTGAAATATGCGAGGTTGAGAGTCCTAACTTTTTGGTGCAAACTACCCATGACTAACACACCTCGAATTCTCGGTATTGTTCCTGTGGTCCAGCATAAACGATTTTGTCAAATTGACCCGAAATGCTGCTTGTCAAATGTTCTAACTGTGGGTGTACCAAAACCAACGATGATTGAGAATCCTTGATGGCATATTCCAGCTCAGTTGGCGGATGGGTTATACCTAATGCATAGAATTCGATATAAGTAATTACATGGTGCGTAACTACATTTTCCTCGGATTCCCGGCTCAAACTTACATAATGGCACGGCAATACCACCAGCAGCCCAAACAGCACATTGTGCGATGACATAATCATATCCATTAGGGTATAAATAGGCCACTCTCATCTCCTTCGAATCGCTCACACCTCCTTTCGACAATAGTAAGCCGCGTAATTGAATGACATTTTTAATAATGTCTCTATAGGTGTATGATCCATTTACGTCAATGATTGCTGGTTTTGTGGGAGGTTGAGCTTGAGCATAACAAAGTATTTTCTGAAAGAATGGGATGTTAGGAAGGGCTATGCATTTTTGTTAGAGAATGTTCGAAGGACATATATATGATACAATTACTAAACGTATGAACTCGATGTATTAACATAATTTACCTATATCTGTAACAAAGGTTTTTCTCAGAATCGGCGTAATTGAGAATTGAGGCTTTCTTGCAAGTCGCACGAAGAGCATATCTCCAACAAAGTATGCTTCAAATCAGTCGACCGATTTTTAGTTGATCTACACAAGACGATCCGTGTGCTATCTCATAATGAACAATCACGAAGTTAGTTTTCCGGATCAATAAATGAATGGACGAATTAACCGGTCGAATACCTTCTAAAGAAATTCCCAGTCATTCAGCTCCAGCTCGGCCGAATGTCTGCTAAGGCTAAGCTACATCCTATTTATCGATCGATCGAAATTGCGGATAAAGAACAGTTGATTGCAAGTCAATCTCATTAACAGCATTGGGGAAATCGCAGCACTGCGAGTTGTACAAATTTTGTGACGTTTCGTACTAAACCTTTTAGGATATGCCGAAAGTGAACCTCGTACACGCCCTAGTAACATAGATTTCGGGTTCAGATAAAGAAAGACACAATTTGTAAATTCGAGTACCTGTGGTCGCATGAAAAGAATAGACTTTATTAAAGCATGACTAATTAAGAAGACATCTGGCAGCCAATTCCAGGAACACGTGAATAAACAGATAATCGAAAAGCAATAATAATAAGTTTGCTAACAAAATCACAACTTTATCTGCTATCGTTATTAACTCTTGGTGCTCTTTTAGGTGATTCCGAACAATCAAGTTTTCGCGATCTATCATAAGCACTCTTCAAGATGTTAGAAATATGAAAGCATTGTTATTATTATATTAATACTAATAAAGGTTTTTTTCTCTAACGTTCTGTAATTGAATCTGTTGGAGGGCCTACACACGATGCATGTATCTTGAATAAAACTCAACAAAGTGTAACGTAGTTGTCACAAAGCAAGTATATAATTACTATGATTGAAAAGTATGTAAGTTGGATATTTTACCAAATATAATTAGAATATTATAAAGCGTTTAACTCATCTATCATGTTTGGGTTTGTTCGAGAGTTAGTTTCTTTATTATGTTCTGAAATACATAATGGTAAGTTATCATTATACCTGTAAGACTTTAATCTAATAAGAACTAAAAATTTAAATTGGGCCTGCCCGGCTTCGTCGGGCAGGCTTGACATAATAAATGAACAGAGCTATATTAACTGTAGGCTTGTTTTTTAATATAGGTTAAATATTATAGCAGTCGTTTGTTCATCAGCTGATTCCAATTTATGTATTTTATTAGTCAAAATTTGAATATGGTGATGGATAGCGTAAATTTTATATGTTTTTATTATAGTGGTTTACATTTAAAGGTAATTGTAATTTAAGCATCGTGTTGTATTATTGTTTAGTTTATTAATACTCGAGTATTTATCCACTGTCTTCATTGCGTTATGCAGCCATTTGTCATAATAATTCACGGTTATGTAGGTATGATGATTACAATTTTAGTCAAAGTTGACTAATTGTGAAACTGGGCGATGACACTCTTAGAAAATTAAATAGTATTGATTTGAGGAAAAGTAACAAGGATCTTGAACTATACACTAAGGCTGATCTAAACTATTTCTTGGAAGCACTTATCTTGAATTCGGCATTAAGTTTGGAGAGTTATATAAAAGAGTTTGCTGAGAAGCGCAAAGGAGAGGATGAATTGACACGTATGACGGGCGTAAAGATATGTCAACACGTATACACTGTACTTGGCAACCGGTTGGTTATGGGAGATGTGTTACATGCACGTGATTGTTATGATTAGTATTAGATGTAATACATTTTTCATGTACATAAATAATAGAATATCTTAAGTTTACCATAATTATTTATAGCAGTCTCGCATTTATTTGTATTATCATACGACTCGGCTATTGTTTTAACGCCGCTATCGTACGTTACCATCAGAACTTTTTAGGTAACAAGGTTGGGGGAGTTAACCGTAATATGATCATGGGATCTTTGGTTTAATACATGTCAAAAGTTGTTTATTATCTTCTTATAGCTGCATTAATAATTAGAATTCCAGTCGAGTCCTAATGTAATGAAGCCCAATAATGACAATAATCACTTTTCTAAAATACAGTTTGTCTCAAAAAAGAAACGAACAAGTTTTTGACACGCGTAACAAAATTTCACGTAATTCTGAAATTAATAAAGAGTGACCAACCCAAACATACAAGTGATCCGGCCTAGTTAGCTAGTCGGAATAATCACAGCCGTGCGCAATCTTGTTTGCAAAATTAATATTGGTTATTATCATATATCAATAGCATTGAGGTATCGACATACTTCTTCGTAGTTAAATGTCGCTTTGGTTTCATCTCTGTACGTGTTTATGACCCTCTGTCAATAATATGGTAAGTATTGCCCTGTGTGCGAGCCATTCGTGGCAAACTAAATAATCAATTAATTATTTTTGTGATTGTTAGTAAATAATCTTACCATTACGCAAATAATTACCGCTGTCGTAGTAGTTAAAAACATACTGTATATTGTAATCGTCGACAATTTATTACTTCGAAACGTAAAGGATCAATGCCACGGGGGATGATTGGAATTTAAAGAAAGTGCTTAATCCTCACATATGACGTTGCATGATCACCAGGATATGATAGCTTAGCGATTACCTATTTTTGGTTATGGAAAATATTGTTTGAGGACACAAAGTGTTTTGCTTTGTCAAATAAAAAAATTCTTGTCGAAAGTCAAGAACCTTGTAGACTTTTTCGTGTGTCGATTATCGATCGTAGGGAGAATGGGAGGTGAAAATGGAAATGTGAGGGGTTGATTAACCAATCGACTATACTAAAGTTTTGCTAAATTTACGTGTCAAGGATCTACGCATACGCAGAATCAAGTCTTCAGATCGTTTGAATGCTACCGCAGTAAAGATAGCGTTTCTGGCCAAGATATGACCCCTCTAGATCAATCCCTTTGAATCTGTGACTGCAGTTGTGGCGCCGCAGTCAAGATGTGGTTAGGATGAAATATGGAACCAGATTTCGATTCATATCCAAAATCTTGATGAAAATATAAAAAGGACAATAGATCAGAGTCTCACGTACTCGATTTCATAAGCAGAGCAGTATTCAAAAGATCAATAAATTGCTACCAAAAAAATGCGCAATCTATTTGCATGTGGTACCACGGAGCAAAGACACTTACTATTACTTGCCTCAATTTACCTTACATTGCTCATTCGCACTTTCATTGCCTTGGTGTTTTTCCGCCAAGACAACTTGAAATTAGAAACGATTAAACCCGTTTTATTAGCAATACAATTCCGTCTTTTATCTTGGCGGGAGTAATCGTTTATTTACGTTATTTAGTCATGTACTTATTAATCAGAACTTATTAAGAAGCAAATTCAAAAAAAAAAAAAAAAAATCCAGATGCAAAAGCATTTTTGCTTCGTGAGAACGCAAGACTTATAAACACAAGATAACATGCCGAACATTCTGATGACGTTGAGACGCTCTGGGTCAACTTCAAGACACTCATTAATCAAAGAGTAAAGAAGCAAAATATTAGGTAAGAATATTAAGTTAAGCTCTGCCACATTGGCTGGTTTTTATCGCCATCAAACAAACCCGTCTACACAGGAAATGGGGAGATCTTAATTTAAGAAAACAGAACACGGTCTAATTTTAATTACCGCAGTATAATTAATCCAATAAAAATACATGATCGTCTCCCCATCTTGATCTTTTTAACGTAATTGCAGCGGCGAAACAATGCGTTTACACTACGCCTTCTTTTACCTAATAGCCATAGTTGCGTCTACTTGCATTCCTCGCTTGTTAGAGACGCCCAAGGATGCCGCGCGTATAGCTCGACGCCTGGTACGTGACACTACGATTGGTACTCTAGTGACTACAATGAATTCCGAAGACCGGGAGGGACTCGGAGGTAGAACAAGCGTAATGAATGCCAATTGAATGTCCAAGTTGACTTGTGCCTTACCGGCTGAGACTGAAATTAGACTTTAATTAAGGATATCCATTTGGACTGCTGGATTACTATGCCGATGAATGTCCATCGACTGGGAATTTATTACTACTCATGACACCCTTGCAGGTGAGAGAACCTAACAAATTATCGTCGGTTATTGACAGTGTTGATCTAAAATATTATATCGTTTACTCCAAGCTGAACTTTCGTAATGCGAGATCGAACGACTGGAAAGCTTCATTCTCCATTCGACAACTCGGTAACAATACGTTTAATCCCGTTGAGAAACCACGTGTGAACTTATTTGGCCTCATTGAAAAGGTTCCAGAGTCTGAGGTAATTTGCATATAACGTTCCTGTAGATATTACAAACTGTTGTCGCAGTTAAAAATAAGGGATAATTCGATTATTCAGATATACAAGTAGGATACAAGTGACAATAACGCTGTTATTAAACTATAATGATTTATGGATCAAAATGCGTATTGGGAACAGGTAACGAACGTACAAGAATGTTTCTTGAAAGCTCACAAGGATGCAGTTTATTGGTATGTTTATCGATTGGATGGTCAAGAGAGATTAGGTTTATTAGAATAGAAAATCGCGTAGAACGAGGTGAACTCTAATTTGCTTCGCTCTCATTGAAAAAGAACGTGTATGGGGCAAAACCACTGGAGTCGCAATTATTTCATTATTCGCTTATTCTTTACTTTCACAGGATACCCGGCAGATCGCATGATTTTGCTTTTTACCGGTTCATTGTTAAAGATATCTACTATGTCGGTGGCTTTGGAGGGTAAGACTATTACAAAAACGGGATTCTCTTTCTTACCTATGCGCGTTGCTCATGTGCTATCATCGTCATTCTCGTTATGCAGATTACATTATATTGGATGGATTGATAAACATCTATACTTTGACGCAAACGTCCACGAGAATTTGAATAGCAACACAAAGTCCAATTTCGGTTTGATAAAAGAGGACTAATTTGGGATTGAAGACATCGAAGATCACTAGACATTGATTCACCGCGAGAAAGTTGTAAATGTGCCAAGTTAGTATGAAAATAGCAACGCAATGACGCTGACCGCCTTAATAGTTAATGTAACTCTTGGCATGCCTCTCATCACGGACAATGAATTACTGACGAAATGCTAATAGCAAATAAATTCTGTAATAATACTGTGACACGTTCGTTATGATTTATTACCACTACAATTAGCCACAATGATAAAATCACTCATATCAGAATCGCTACACTTTTATGGACTTTCGGTAAAATTATCAATACTAACGAACGCAGTATCGGATTTTTCCAATTTGTCCTCATCTGTTCTCGATGTAATGTTCCTACCAAAGCCAGATGGTGTGTTGATCAACCTGGTCTATCTATTCAGAACGCGCGAGGCGCTGGAATCGTTGTTGGACCGGTAGGGTAATGTGTTCAAAGATACTTGCCATCGTTTGGTAATGCACAATTTGCTGCATATACATGATAATAAGTATTATTAGGAACAGAATAAACGTTTAGACGTAGCTCGTGTTAGGCAGTCACATTACTGAGTTGATTACCCCAAAGCTTCTCAATCGGAGGAAATGTTACTGCAAAACCCACCACATATCAATTACAATATTCTAACCGGAAACGACAAAAATCAATTTATCCTTACTCCATGTTTCTTCTACAGTGCCCCATGGACTGTTTGGTATATACATCGGATGTTTAGAGCCCTGCCAAAGCTGTTGCATTCAAACTTCATCATCCATGGTTTTTGGCCTTAAGACACTAACCAGTGCTTTACGGGTCCCAGATATGACTGAGAATGCGACCATGAAGGAAGTGGTAGAGTCGGAACAAGCGAAGAGGATGAGAGGACCACACTAGTATAGCATCAGCCTAAAGTGGCGAATAAACGTTAGTATATCAACATGTTAAGACCAAGAAGTGTAATCGTTATTGTTGTATCGGTGTGACTACTTGAGAAGTAGTAACCTTGTCATATCATATACAGTCTAGTCTCTTTAAACGCACTCCCTCTAAATGCACTCTTTTCCTCACCTGATTTTGTGTTCACACCTGGTGCCAAGCACACTCTCTATATTCTGTGCGCGCGATGGGAAAAGTAATTTCGTAACCATAAATCACGTGATATAAATATAATTACGTCATCAGTGAAATACACAAATTGCAAGTCAACAATAACAGTATTAGTATTAATATCATACTAATTATAATACGTATCAAAATAATACTGTAATAAAACAAGCCACTCTGGATCGTTTTTTGCAAATTATTAAGTAGTCACGTGGTCTCCGTAAATCGGTCCTCTCGGCCCGCCTGGGCCGACTTATCGAGGTTGACTATGTATTATGAAAGTATCGAATTAAATTTCATGATGCTAAATTCAAGTATGATGGTAGTTTGGATTGATTAAGAAACTATATCGCAAAACAACGGTAAATTATGTGAACGATATATTGTTGAAGTTGTGAAAAAATCGAGTACAAGTGGATTAAATAAGGCCCAGCGTTATGACAACGGAAAAGGGGTTTTCAGTACTTGGGTGTTGGAGATTTTCTTAAGTAATTGAATGCTTGCAGACATATCAGCATTTTTTTTTGATGCGGCAGATCCTGGAATTGTCAAAGCTCATGTGGCTGCTAATTGTGCTTTTACTGAATTTAATTTGTTAAAAGCTAGAAAAACAAGTGTTTCCGAAATTATCAAAGCAATTAAATTTTTCTAGTTACTATACTGATGCTAATCATCATAAGTTTTGTGATGATAAAATTTGAGGGGAAAATAAATAAACAGACTAAAGAGAGAGCTAACTGAAATTAAACAACACTTAGAAGAAGAAGAAGAAGAAAAAAGCTCAAACAAAATATCATTAATTCAATAGTGTTTATAACATCAAGGATAACAGCCTTATGTTTTGGATGCTAAAAATGAAAAAAAAAAAGCTCGTCAATAATCAAAACTAATATTAATATCAAAATAAAATATTTTGAATCTTTGGTTTCATGGTGGATTTATTGTAAATTAGTTTCATATTAATATTAATTTTTTTTATATAAAGGAAATCTTGATTCCGTTATGGTTTATATTGGTTTGATAAAGTGAGCATTAAAATTAACGAGTCCATAAGTTATGAACGAGCGCCATCATGTCATCAGTCATACTGTAACTGATCAATTTTACAGCCACAACATAATCAGCCCCTCATTAATAATAGTAATAATAAAATGTTCACTTTGTCTGGTTTTGTTGCAAGCATAATAATAAGCATACCCCATTTAATCTTATTGTAATTAAGTAAAGTCTATATTAATCAGCTTGGAAACGTTAATTACATTTTGGCATGATATAACTTAAAATTATATTTTACGTAATTCGTTGTGGGCGTAATAATAAGGGCGACTAACTCTTTCTTGGGATAACATTCTTCATACGTGTAACAAAGTTTATGTCACGAAATCGTGCTTATCCAATCATGTTTTAATCCACTTCAATGACGAGTTTTCTCTTTTTGCATTTAGTACCCTTTTTTTTCAGACTTACTACTCCATATAGTGCACTATACTACTCTTATACGCATATTACTACCAATAATTCCATCCAGTTCCTCGTTACCTGTTCACCTGATAACTTATACTCTAATACATCATACTCATCGACATAGATCACTTTTTCACCTAAACTCGCATCTGCTTTCACAGCCATTTTCATTTCATTACTCAAATCTTAGTATTCGTTTCCAAATATTCACTTTTTATACTACATTTAAAATTTTTTATTACTTAATCTGCTACCCGCTGTAACCCACAAGTATAGAAAACTATCATCACAAAACAACGTAATGGACTCTGTCTGGGCAAAGCGCAGGTGAGACATTGATAGATTAGCTATTGGTGGGTGAGAGGAGCAAAAAAAAAAAAGAGGTCGACGCTTGGGTTTGATTGAAAATGGTAAGATTGCAATTAGGAATCTTGTTAGCGGAATTTGTCTAGTGGAGGGATAAGAAAAAAAAAGTGAGCGCATAGGTAAGATAGTGCAACGAGAAAAAAAAATCTGAAGACGATGAAGGCGGAAGGTAGTACTGGGAGGAGGGAAATGTATACAGATAAGAGTTGGAGTGGGGGAAAAGGTGTATGAATGGATTCGAAGGTAATTCGTATACGAGATCGGTAATTGTGTGAATCCAAACACCCACTCCACGCGATCAATATCTGCAACTTATCACTCATACTTACTCATATCTCTCTCTTGTCCTCCCCCTCTCTTTGCCCATAACGTCTCAACACATAATGAAAACCAATTGCCGACACCAGCAATCGTTCAAGCATCGCAACACCGGAGCACTTTACATCTTTAACCCATCCCACATCCACCACGTCCTCATCTACCTCGTCCAATTCATCATCCACTTCCTCGTCTTCGACGACATCCACCAAACTCATCCAACTCCAACGTACCTCCTCTCCCAATGGCACATCCTCGATATCTTCGGTCCTCCTTTCACCAACAACGCCTCTTGTAGCTTCTGCCTCGGGTTATCTCTCCAAAAGTCGTGGGAGCATTGTGGAGGAGAGCAAGGAGAAAGACAAAAAAGAATCTGGAGCTAGTGTGGGAGGGATAGGAAACATTGGAACGGCGACGGGGGTGGGGATTGGAAGTAGGGAAGGTTTAAGGAAAGACGGAACAATTAATGGAAGTAATGGTGTCGTTGCATTAAATAGACAGCAGTATATACCGAGTCCGACTAGTGATATCCATCCACTGCATTTTACCTGGGTGTTTTGGTTCATGCATCGTGCGCCTGGGAGTAAAATTACGAATTATGAGCAGAGCATGAAGAAGATTGCCGCGTTTTCTTCGGTATGGAGAATTTGTGATTTGTTGTTACGAATGATTTGAATTAAATTTGTACTGGATGTGGTAAATTTGGCGGGAGAAAAAGGGGTTAATATAAAGGAAAATATGGGCGATATAATATATAGATTAGTGATATTCTTGGGGAAGTGAGAATGTCTGAAAGGCGAGATGTTTGTTTTTTAAAAATTATGTCATTTTAGTGTGAAAAATGATGAAGCACTTTATTGTATATCCTGTAGTGCTAATGTAGGTGCCATCGTAAAGTCCGCAATACTCTCTTTTTTTTCCGCACAAATCAAATACGTCTTGAACACTTACCTCGATTATATTATATACGGTTTTATCTCATTTGACACCTTTTTTTCTTTATAGATAGAAGACTTCTGGGCAGTTTATAGTCATCTTCGTCGACCCCACGGGTTGCCAAACATTAGTGATTACCATCTTTTCAAACAGGGCGTAAGGCCTGTATGGGAGGTACGAAATATTTACGTTTACGAGAAGGGAAATGCACGGTTGGTTTGGTTCGCATATTGAATACACTTTATTCGTGTGTAGGATGTTACAAACATTAATGGTGGCAAGTGGATTGTCAGACTACGAAAAGGTTTGGCCAGTCGATACTGGGAAAGTTTGGTTTGTATTCGATTAATAAGATGATGACAATAACTCGTTTTCTTACATTTCACGCAATCTGTTACGGTCTCTTGACATTCTCTCATTGCATATGCTTTCCCCATTTTCTCGCAGGTAATGGCAGTTATTGGCGACCAATTCGATGTAGGAACAGAAATCTGCGGGGCAGTTCTGTCAATTCGTAGTTCGGAAGATATTCTATCCTTGTGGAACCAGTCTGCTCGGGAAGGACGAATTAATTTAAAAATAAGGTAATTTGTTTGTGGAAAGCAACTCTTTCCCCCCCCCCCGATTTATCCGTAATCTTCTAACCATGAATATTCTTTCAATTCCCATCCGCAGAGACACTATGAAACGTGTTCTAAATTTACCTCCAGATACAATCATGGAGTACAAATCACATACTGATGCAATGAAAGATAATTCTAGTTTCCGTAATACGGACGTGTTTCGATAAATTATCGTCAAGACAATGAAACTTAGTTTCAAAAAACTTAAGATTATTGTTTTCGTATTAACAACGACATTAAAATTTACGAAAAGTGTGACTTTTTGTTGTCGGTGAAGAGACGAGGGAAAATGTTTAAAGTGAAAGTTTATCTTGTTGGATAAGATGCGAGACTGTGGTGTTAGGGGAGAGTGGAAAAGATAAGAAAGCAAAATATGAGTATTATTTGAGAAGAAATCAGGTGGATGATGGGAAATATTGATGGAAGGGAGTGAAGAGAAAACGAAAAGATAGTCTTAGGAGACCGAAACTAGAAACCCGCATGCCAGTCCAAGCTTTTGATCCGACGAAAGAAGTTATATCAGTCAAGGAAAGAATAAGCAGAGGTAAATGTGTTAAGGATGATGACAGTAATTCTGACTCTGCTTTTGATAAACCGTTATTTAGTCATTTATTCATCAAGTATGCATAGCATTCTCCTCACACAAGGAGGAGGCAACATTTCATTGCAGTTACAGCAACTGACCATTGTCGGTTCAGTCACTCTCAACCGCGTCAGGCCAACCGTCGGGTGGCAGCAATGTCACGAGCTTCCCCACACACATGATGTCATGTCTGTTTTATCTGTCTTATGAGTGGGAACATTAAGACAGAAAAAAAAACCAGTTCCGAATACAAGTCGCTATTAATGTACAATTTTAACCGGATTGATTGGTCAGATGATTAATTATTTCCAAGAGTTGGACACGCTATAAGGATATATGCAAGTGGGAGAAGCCGATTCAAGTCTTACATCGAACACAGTTGACTTTGCCCCAACAGATAAAAAATTTTGTCGAGTTCGAGATATCGTTTGCAGGGGCTATTTTCGATCTGAATTATTACCATTAAAGTACCGTAAAAAACCATAATAGGTTTTTACTAAAATTGTATAATAATGCATGCGAGTCGTAACCAGAGCACGGACTCTACATTTTTTACCCGAGTTGTTCGATTGGTTTGTGTGAAAAAAGCCCAGGTACCGTGCAAGTGTTGAAGCGCCTTAAACATGAACAATTATACCCGCACGTAAGCGTAACACTTTTAAAACGACTGCTCAAGACTGCATCGTTCACCCTGCCTGTCATCAATGGCCTTGGCATACCAGTCTGTTGGAAAGCACGATACAATGTCAAAGGTCCTGATTTTCATAGGGAAAGACTCATCAATAGACATACCCGTTTGTGAGGGAATAAACCTCTTCAACGATAGCTGCATTGATACTGAATTCTCGAACTCGTCAAAGGGTTCTCTTACATGTTTAAGACCCAAACCCTGACCGTACAAAAGTCTCTCAAAACTGCAAGGCATTTTCGTGACTCGTTCCTAACGCAACGGTTGTTAAAAAGTTGCTTAAACAAATACAGAAAACTAGATTGCGTCGCGCTTAACCCATTCAATACATTTTAAGTGTACGTGAGATTTAATTACAAGTTCGTTTATTATTATATACTTTCAACATTTTTTTTAGTCTTTATCTCTCACTGTCGCTAGCATTCAATATCACACCAATATCTAAAAAGACTGCATGCGTTTATTTACGTGTTATTTGTATCCTTTATTAATGCGATGGGCATTATCATTAGGCAGTTTAATAGTAATTTTGTGTTATTTTCGCATTATTCACGTGTTATTTGCTTGACATTACATAGAATATTATGAATAATGTGGATATGTAGACATTTTGATAATATTATTCAACTCTGGGAAAACCCAACTTATGAGACAATTAATTATACAGGAAGTCTTAATAGAGGCGGAATACAAGGTAAAATTATTCCAAGTAGTAATAATGAAAAAAATGAAGCGGAAATATTCCATTATCACTTATGACGAAGCTAAAAAAGCGTTTGGTATATATGAACGGTTAGGCTGCAAAATGATATTTCTTTTCTGAACAACAATTCAATGAAAAAAAACATGTTGATAAATTAAACAAAGCAAATTAGATTCAGCTTTGATAATAACATTGTACGCATATGTTAAAATAGGTGGATAAACAATCGAATAACTATTGCTTCCAAACTGGCATGCCAAGCAGCAAACTCACCTTTCATCTCCACTAGCTTCAGGGACAGATCCTTCACAAACAGCTAAGCAATTACCGAATCGGTCCCTCAAACCCGCTCCACCTCCACCAGAGTCCCATTGGACCCGATCACCCAGCAAACCCATCAAGGGAGAGAAAAAGGGGAAAATGAAAGAGGAAAAAAAGGTAGAGTTAGTTTATAACGTAAACAATGCGATACTTACCTTATACTTACCCCAACCTTCTCCCCGTCATCTAAAAGCTGTGTAAAAAACGAAGAAGAAAAAAAGAGATGCCTGAGAGTGTTCCGGGCATCCCCCGTGACCCACTCAACAGACCCGTGCCAGGATTTCTTCACCGCAGGCGAGCACTGGTGAAAGGGTGAGTAGAGGGGCGTCACCGGTAATTACCCGCCGCCCGATCCAGATCCGTACCCGTCCGCCAGCTGAGACAAAAGAGAGCAGCCACTTAGTTAACCAGTTAAAAAGCGATAGTCAGTTAGTAATTGATTAATATCTATCCACCATATTTTCCGACGTGGAGAGCGGCAACTCGTAATTTCTAGTATAAACACAAAAGTTTTGGGTTATTTTATGATAAAATTATTTGTATACCAAACGCAAAAAAATACTTGTTTGTTGAAAGACGTTGAATATCTGAATAAATAAAAACTTACGTAAAATAACAACTTCCCCCAAACTTCGTTATCGTATTATTATTTTCCTCGATGCGACACGTTAAGGAGAAGCACATATTTGCGTGTTGTGTACCGCACGCTAGTATGAAGGAACTTTTGTGCAAAATTTTCGTCGTTGTTGAGTGGTAAAGGTTCGTTATTTGAGAACTTTGTTTGTGAGTTGTGCGTAATATAAGGTGGTGAAAAAGAATTGTTTGTTGTAGGTTTGATTTACAATTTGCGCTTTGGAGGAGAACGTGAATTAAGACATGCGCAATGGAAAGTGTCGTTTGAATATATGTGTTGATCTGAGTTTCGTCGGCTATGCAATCGATATATCGAGTCGTTGTTTCAAAGACCTGTTCAAAAGTTGTAACGCAGTGTCGTATAAGTGGCGACGAAAATTGTTGCGTTGTACGCTTGACTTTCAGATAGTGTTGTACTTGCGCTTGGAAGCAAGCTTATTGTGAAGTGATACGTGTGCGCAACGGAGATAAACGGTTGGGTATGTATGTGTTTACATGAGTAAACGCGTGTACGAACTCTTTCGTCGGTTATATTGTCGATATATCGAGTCGTTGTTTCAAGACTTGTTCGAGAGTTGTAGCGGACTGTCGTATATACGTAATATAGCGTGGCGACAAAACTTCTTAGATGACATTGTATTTGCGCTTTGTAGGAGGGGAAAGTTGTTATAAGCGATACGTACGCAACGAAAATAAGCGTTTGGGTGTATATGTGTTTATATGAGTAAACGTGTTTAAATCCAAAGATTTGCTCGAAGGTTGAAGCAAACTGTTGTGCTTATATAGGGCAGAGACAAATATTGTTATGCAGATATTTGACTCTTAGATAAAGCTATATTTGCGCTATAGAGAAAGGTCATCGTAAAGTGATACGTGTGCGATGGGAAGAAGCGTCTGGGTATATATAAGTATATGAGTAGACGCGTGTTCGCGTGTTAGATGACATATTGGTATCACTTGATACCGTCAAAATTAGTTGTTTGTGCAATAAGTCTGCACCGTCGCCAATAGGAATATACTGTCTAGTGTAACACATCATTACGATGGTCACGATTGTTTCCGTAAATAAGAACAATAGTATCAATGTAACATTTCGGGCACACAGTAAATTCTTTCACTGGTTAAGAGTCCGATAAGTCATGAACATAATTTTATTAAACTGATCTCTGTGACAGCGACGATATCGATAGCAAGAGCAGCCATTTATTAATCTCACAATATAATATTGTAACATGTGTAATAACGAGCCTACTAACGTATCAAGATTTCGATGTTATCTGCATGCGTGTAATAACGTTAATATTAAAATCTGGACTTTATTATATACAATATTATGGTGTCAGCATTACCGGTTATGTCATTTAGCAAAACTCAAGAAAAGTTCACTCGAAGAATCAACGAGTCTATTCTTACAGCCGTGTGCGTTGACACGGTTCGCTCAAATCTAAATAATTGTGGAGACCCAAGAACTATCGACACGTATTAATAATTAATTATCATATGAAGTGATGACTCATTGATAGTGTGAGGTTAAGATGTAAAGGACCATTATTTCTTTTATTATTATGCAAACTATTTCCAGTTTTATCCTTGGTTCCAAAAGTTGTGTTGTGCGTGTCTGGAGACTGTTTTTTTTTTTTCAACAATAAATCGGATGATATGAAGGCTTCAGGACATGAAATTGGACGTGATATGTTATTTATGTGGAGAAGTCCAATTCTTCTTTGTTTCGTTGTATAAAGGCATGCCTATAAAACTACCCATAAAGCAATTTCGCAATGGTTCGCCTCGGCGGTTGTGCACTGGTCCTCACAATATCCTGAATCAAACACAGATACACAAACTTTGACAATGGTTATGTTCACGAATTATTAATTGTTCCGTAAAATAAATTCTAAAGCCCAGCGTTAGTTGTTGTATGGTTGTCATTCATTAATCTCACGTTTCAATCCAAACAAAATTGGTAGGCGTAAAACGCGTAAAAGCCAATCTCATATAACCCTAATCAATAACACGCCTGTGATGTAATTGAAGCAAAAGACATTTTGAACGTTAGTTGCTTCGCTGCTTCCAAGAGTATGGGCCAAATTTTCATGCGCAAACTTCAAATCGCAGAGAGCAAACCCTGTTTGTTTATGCTTGAATCAAATATTCTGAGATGCTTTTTTTTTTTTGGATAATCTCTCCCCAGAAATAAGGGCAAATATTCATTACCCAAAGCCCCATTTATTAACATTCAATCTACTGTATTACTCGTCTTTGATTACCGACATCTATTTCCATCGTAATGGTAAAATGTATGGTACGCATCTATTTAACTATTAGCTGGTCCCTAACGGAAACTCTCTATGACTAATATTCTCATCGCAACACAACAGCAGCATGTCTGAGCCCAAGATACTGTTGCACAACGCTCGGTGCAAGTTGTTTGATTTCTCTATATACTTCGGCCGAGTGATAACGAAGTCTTGTCTTTGGATCTGTATAGCGAGCCTACGTTCGTGTCGTGTATGCGAAAGAGTAAATATATGAACCCAACCACTAACACTGTAAATGATGAATCATCTCTCCTACTTTACCTCTAATCCCGTAATGTCACAATATTTCTTCTGAGGTATTAATGACGGGGGAGCCTCGATATTCGAATCTAGACAAAAACTACATTAGTTGCACATTGACGTTCACATACCCTAACGCAGTTTTCGCATAAAACCTACATGTTGGCAGATCCAATGGTGATAGCTGTGCCTTTTCAGCAGCAAGGATTTGTTTAAGATTCTTGAACTTTTTCGGCGTTTTATAATGCGGATTCTTAAACGGCTTAGCGACAAGATAAAGATTTGTTGGAGGAACGTATGAAGATGATACTGGTGATATCGTCATCGATTGATATGATGGGGTATCAGACGTATTTGTTGCAGCTGTAGACGTAGATGGCGACGAGGTTTCAGAATCATTGGATGCTGAATGCTGGGAAGTTGAAGGGGCACCATTTGATTTGGACAGAAAAACGTAAGTTAGAAATGTACTAAATATATCGTTCGAGGTTAGGCGAGTTCTATTTCAAACAGTAGTGATCTTTTTACCTTTACATTAGAATTAGAATTCTTCCGTGTGGTGCGTCTCGAAGACATGTGGATTAAGCGGGGGTTGAGAAAGCAAGCACAGTGTCGGTAAGACTTGACGCTTTACGTTACATATTAGAATATGGTTTATATAGTTTGTGGCACGTAATATCGGTGGAACCTCTGCAGAGCTTGTGTCCACAGTATCTGTCGGTCAATAATCTCGGGTCAGAAAGAACGTTACATAAACCGGTCTGGTTCATTCGTTTTCATCAGAAGTATGAGATTTCTAGTGCGGCTAATCGGATTATCCTTACTATTACGCAAAACCGGTAATTTGCATCATGTGAAATACAAGTCACGCGTTTTATTTTTTTTTACTGATACAATAAAGAAAACCAATGTCAGACCATATGTTCGACCCGTAGCGAAATTCAGCCCGATTTTATGCTATTATCACATAAACAATGTTGATTGATTACCTATTACGAATTGCGCTACGGGCCAGAACATCATACAATATTTTGGAAACGTAAAGCCAAACATGACCTATATTTGGTGCGAACAATCTAGTGCTTTTCGTACTGTTGATTTGCGTGAGCCGATATATACAGTGGTGTGCAAAAAAAATGAACTTTCTTAAAATTACGTTAGTTTCACAAGTATTGCATCGATTAAAATGCGT